AATTTTGTTACAATAAACATTTCATCAGTTTTGATAAATCATCAATGGAAAGATTCAATTAAAATTGAAAATGTCTTGTTTGACAATAAGCAAGAAAGCATTTTTTTCTAGAATTGAGTAAATAATTTCTTATGACGATTGAAAATTGCCTGTTCTAAAAATAAATATTTTTAAGAAAGATTTTTTCAGAAAAATGAACTACATTTTTGATAATTATGTTTAAGTTTATTTGTTACCCTACTGATGTAAAAATTGTGTTGACATGTTATCGATAAAAAAAATGTCAGGATTATTTTGTAATTTGCTACCCATTGTCAAAAAATTTAAAAAAACTTTGAATTTGTAAGAAAATTAAAAATCACTTTTTTGAAAAAAGCAATATACTTAATACACATTTTTTACAAAAAAACAATTGAGCAAAAATCCCATCTACATATTTCATTGCCTTTTCTTATTTTTTAATTATTTTTCTTCCTAAAGTTTAGATACTCGAAAATCTCTTAAAAATCGAGAAAAATTTCTACAGCTTTCCAATTTTCTTTCTTATTTTACTATTTCTACCACTTTTAGTTTTTTTATTGTGTTAACTTATTTTTTTATTTCTTTTTCTTGAGCAACTTTAAAATCTTTTAAAAATTGAAAGAAACTTTTCAGTTTTCTTCTTATTTCTAGATTTCTGGTTCTGTTTTCTCTTTCTTTTTTATGCCACCACTTCTACTAAAGTTTTTAGATTGTTTTCATTACTTTAGGACTATTTTCTTTAATTATTTTTTCTTGTTTCTGTTTCTAAAAATATCGTAGCAGAATCTGTTATTTTTGTCAGATTTCTTGTATTGTTTCAAATTCCCTTTTTTTGGTTTTTTTTTGAGAATTCTGTTTTTGCTACTGTTTCAAAAAATGTTTTACAATTTGTTTCTCTTAGTTATTATTTAAATGAGAGTACATTTCTACCCTTCTTAGATTTTTTTGTTCTTTTTACTTATATTTTCTTTTTTTATTTCTTTTTCTTCATAAACTTTGGCAACTTGAGACATTCTTAACAATCGAAAGACACTGCTTCAGTTTTTTCCAGACTGTTCATGGGGCCATCGAGACGGGATTTAGGGAAGCAGAAAGGATTATTACAACTCTTTGATTATTTTTTTAATCAGTGAAAATTACACAATACATGACCCAACAAATTTT